TAAATAAAGGAGAAAAGAAAAGGAAAGGAAAGAGGAGGGAGGAGAGAGAGAGAGAGAGAGAGAGGATGGAACTGGAGGAGAGAAGGGGAGGAAGCTACAAGGATGTAATAAATGAAATAAATAAAGGAGAAAAGAAAAGGAAAGGAAAGAGGAGGGAGGAGAGAGAGAGAGAGAGAGAGAGGATGGAACTGGAGGAGAGAAAGGGAGGAAGCTACAAGAATGTAAAGCGAATGAAATAAATAAAGAAGGAAAGGAAAGAGGAGGGAGGAGAGAGAGAGAGAGAGAGAGAGGATGGAACTGGAGGAGAGAAGGGGAGGAAGCCACAAGGATGTAATAAATGAAATAAATAAAGGAGAGAGAGAAAAGAAAAAGAAAACCCCAGAATTCTCCATAGGATGATGAGGACGTAGCACCCACCGCGACACCGTGCGGCGACGTCTGTGCGTAGGCCACAAAGGAGCAGCCGTCAGGAAGGCGACCGCCATTCGTGAAAGAATAGAGGGAAGGGGAGAAAAAGCCAAGAGCAAAACCCCCCCAAAAACACCCCCCGAAGGGACCCCTAAACCGTCCTATTTCTAATCTAATGAGGACCACAGCGTCCCCGAGCTGCGGAGAAACCCACCCCCGGGGAGGCTGCGGGGTCGAGGGCCTCTAGCCCCGGTCAGCACCCAGGGGACAGAGCCAGCTGCTCTCGGTGGTCCAGGGTCGGGGGGTCCACAGTCTGGGGACAGGGAGGGACCCCCCAGCCCCCCCCACTCACTCACCATGGCCTGGCTCTGGTCTCCCTCACAGCTCCCTAAAGGCCGCCTCCCCCTGGTCCTCCTCCCCGATGCTGAGGCCTTCCCGGAGGCCACCATCAGCATCCTCAGCCTGGACCGGTCCTCCGGGCCTCAGCTGCGGTCCAGGTCCTTCAAACGAAGGATCGAGGGGGTTTGGGGAATCAGGGGACCAGGACGGAGGCGGCCTGAGGCCACGCAGCCCTGTCACAGAAACATTATACACATCCACGCCAGGGAAACTGAGAACCAGGCCCCTTGAGCCAAAGGGAGGTTCCACGGAAAAGATGTTCCCAGAGTATTTTCCTCCTCCTCCTCCTTCTGCTCTTCCTCCTCCTCCTTCCTCCTCCTCCTCCTTCTCCTCCTCCTCCTTCTGCTCCTCTTCCTTCTCCTCCTCCTCCTCCTTCTCATCCTCTTCCTACTCCTCCTCCTCCTTCTCTTCCTCCTCCTCCTTTTCCTTCTCCTCCTCCTCCTTCACCTCCTTCTCCTCCTCTTCCTTCCTCCTCCCCCCTTTCCACCTTCTCTCCTTCCTCTTTCTTCTCCTCCTTTTCTTTCTCTTCCTTCTCCTCCTACTCCTTCTTCACCTCCTTCTCTTCCTCCTTCTCCTCCTTCTTCTCCTTTTCCTTCTCCTCCTTCTACTCCTTCTTCACCTCCTTCTCTTCCTTTTCTTCCTCCTCCTCCTTCACCTCCTTCTCCTCCTCATTCTCCTCCTTTTCCTTCTCCTCCTTCTCATCTTTCTCCTCCCCCTCCTCCTCCTCCTCCTCCTCCTCCCCCTCCTCCTCCTCTGACGGCAGCATCTCAGAGTCCGTCCTCCCTTAGCCAAAGGCTCCTGGCTCTGACCTTCGAGCTCCCGAGCATTGCCGAATCCTCCACGGCCTCCGTTCCACTCTCTTACCTCGGGGCTTAATTCGGGGGGGGCCGTTGACGCCCCCACAAAGGGACCCCAAACGGGTGTGACACCCAGACGTGACACGCCCGGCCCGACCTCACAGGCGACGCCAGCCCAGGCCGCTCGGCTCTCAGTCTCCTGCCGTCCAGGCCCCCGCTGCTAAAGCTCTGTGGGGATGCATTTCCGTTTAGAGCGAGGCCGTCCTGGCGAGAGAGCGCACCCACCCGGGGACCTCTCCGGGTCTGGGCCATCCCGCCGGGACACGGAGACAAGCAGACCCGAGTTCGAGGCCAGCCTGGCGTGGAGCAAGGTGAGGGAGAGGAAAGCCGAGGCCCAGGCGCGGAGGCCCACGGCCTCTTCCCTCCAGACAGGGGAGGCCAGGCTGCTTTCCGGGAGGAAGCGCCCACGTTGGAGAGCGAGCGAGCGAGCGGGAGAGGGGGTGACGGGTCGGGGAGGAGGTGACAGGGCAGGATGCGCCCAGCCCTGGAGAGAAGAGAGGGGAAAGGGAAGTCCCCTACGGGGCAACGTGGAGAGAGGAAGAGAGAGAGAGAGAGAGAGAGATCCGGGGGGGGGGGAGAGGGGGGGGGGCCGTTGACGCCCCCACAAAGGGACCCCAAACGGGTGT